TTTTTTGTCTGTCTGATAATGAAATTTAAAATGATATAATATTAAATGACTGATGTCTTAACCAGTTACTTGGGACTTGGGTAGCCTTTTTACCAAATACTTTTTAATTCTTAATCGAGTCATTTCTTGGATGGCTTCTTTTTACCTTTACTTGAGTAAAAATATGTTGAAGAAGTGGTACTCTTACTTGAGTACAATTTGTTGATACTCTACCGACTTTAGTTGGGAACTGAAGCCACAAGATCCTGTTTTACAGAAGTTACCATGTTTAATGTTTGGTACCAAAGTCTGAACACTATGTGGAGCTTTTAAATCTTAAAAACACAATCATCATTTTTGTTTTTTGTTTGTTTGTTTTATTTGACGAATATCAATGTCTAGTTTGTGTTCATGGAGGCTGCAGGACTGAAAGCCAGGTCTGGCACAGTTTTACAATGACTACTGGCCAAGTTGCAGCTTGGTTTATGTTAGTGATGTTTGATATCACTGATTTCCTTTCTGATAGTGGTAGCGAGTAAGACTCAGACTGGTATATTGATCCGATATGATACTTTGTTCAAACACACCTAATGTGTCTGGTAAATCTAACAAAAAGTAGTGTATTTCAAATCACTGCTTCTTAAACAATACAAGACATCATTGATTCATTTGAAACTCAGAAGTAGGGTGCGCCGACGGCAATTTTCTGGCCGATCGTCGATCTTAAAAAACCTGACCTGCCTGTTCCAATTTTGACCAATACTGATTATTTTTTTTATAACTGACACAATCAAGTGTTATTGGATCACAACACACCTTCAATATTCCAATCTTATTTAATGAAAAACATTGAACAATATCCTTGAAACAATACAAACGTATTTTAACTGGACAATGGCCCTTTCTCACAGCAGAGCAAAAGAGGGCAATGGCTGATTTTCAGACCTTTGTGGAGGTAAGATAGGTAGATAAAATTGACTTTTTATGTAAACATCAACCGATTGCCCCAAATAAAGGAAATCAGGGGTTGATTTATTGGTGCACCCCTACACAGAAGTACACTGATGTAGCGTCCTTATTTACAATATTTAAACAGAGAATTTTCAAGAACTGCTTTAAAGATGAAAACGTGAGTCTTAATTTACATGACATGAACATATAAACATAAAATTATTAAAGATGTAAACACCTACAGACTGAGGGACTGACTGATCACATGCTGCTGCACTTACGTATTCCCACTAACCTCGTACAAGTTTTCAAGGTTTCTTACTTTAGTTACTTTTCACTGTGTTACTATTGATATTTTAATTTTAGAATTGATTTAGGAGCATAAAGTTCTGGTGTCAGTGATGTCGATCCACACATCACTTTATCACTTTTGGCGGCACCGTAGCTCAGTGGTTAGCACTGACGCCTCACAGTAAGAAGATCATGGGTTTGATCCCCAGTTCGGACCTGGGGTCTTTCTGTGCGGAGTTTGCATGTTCTCCTCGTGCTTGTGTGGGATTTCTCTGGGTGCTCCGGTTTCCCCCACAACACAAAAACATGTACAACAGGTTGCCTTCAGGCCCTGGCCTCCCATGAAAAAGAGATCTGTCATCTCAAAGGGACTTGCCTGGTTAAATAATGGTAAATAATAAATTATGTTTATGTGGCCCAAGTTTATCAATGCCACAACTGGCCTGTTTGTGGTTTGGTTTATGCAGTGCTGGCCCATGCATGGACCACCTCTGGCAAACCAAATATGGGCCACCATAGGGCCATCATTCATTGCTAGACAGCATGGGTTATTGTATTGCCTGGGCCAGAACTGGAACAGACAAACTTTGCTGTGTGGGCTTTTTCTGCTTCTCATCATCATCATCATCATCATCAAACTGTTGCTTTTTCTTTAAATTACTCTTTATAAAAAGTCTTGATTAAATACATAATGTATATTTATTTGGCTGTTTATTGAAGTGATGTGCTAATGTTGAACAATTCACACTTACTGTATGTTCAAAACACACTAAAAAGCCAATGTACTCCTAAAATATTCATGGAAAAAATATAAGAAGCTTTGCAACTTTTCACGACTGCGAATGATGGTCTATATAATAATCTGATATTTTTTCACACGTTTCTATTGTAAAGACAGTTTGTTCTGTTCAGTACAAAACATTTTTAATAAGCAGATTCGGACTCTAGGACAGGCCATGCTGTGTACAGTTTTACTCATTTTTGCTAGTTTGTGTGTGTGTGTGTGTGTGTGTGTGTGTGTGTGTGTGTAAGGTAGAGGAGACAGGGGAGGCTGCGAATGTGAGAATGATGAGTGTTACTGCATGGCTGCCAGCATCATGGATGAAGAGAAGGACAGTGACATTGAGGCACGCCCCTTTATGGCTTTTATCTATTCTTTCAAGCACACACACACACACACACACACACACACACACACACACACACACAC